GATAGGCTACTTCAGGACTCAATTTTCATTTAGACCCAGTTTATACACTTTTTAAACTTATCATGGGCTATGGAGTCAAACGCCCTTCTCAAATCTACAAAGATTATAAACAACTTACTTCTCTTTAATCTTAGTTGAAAATTTATTATTGCCGAGAGAGTAAAAATCGCATCTAAACAACCCCTCCCTTTTCTGAATGGTATTTGTTCTTCCGGAATTAATTTGTTATATCCGCCCACTTGTAAAGACGCTTGAAAATTATGCCTGTGAAGTTTTACTTGACAATCAATGCCCATGTAGTTCAGGCAATAATTTGGGTCACCTTTGTTAAGAAGCAAGTTTAATTTAATTAGTGTCCTCAGCTTGGCAGATATTAGTGAATTAAATTTCATCAGAAATTTTTTCTTGAAACCAAATTTCATTATTCAAGTTTAAGAGATAACGTATCCACGAGCCTAGGTCTCGCAACAATATCAAGGTTTAAGCCAATTAGAACTGTCTAAGTTGGCTGATAGGCAAACTAACATAGTCAGTGATTCAACATAAATTCATCGGCTCGCAGACCAAAACCACCGTAGTTGAATGGACGCAGACCTTGGACTTAAGGCGTGGCTAAGTTGATTGCTTATGCACGTTGGGCGTGGTCACGGTTTCATTTGACTATCGGTGAACAGACTTTGGAACTTTACTTCTCTGTTCAATTATTATTCGTTTTCTAAGAACCCCTTTATTTTTATTTCATAAAAACATTTTTAGATTGAGCTACTAGCTTATTCAAAAGCAATTATGTTTTTTCTTGTTCTGTGTATCCGGCAATTATTTTACGTTTAATGTATATTCTGATTTCTTATAGAGATTTTCGTCCTTGTCTGATCATAGAATTGAAGGAATATGGTATTTCTTGAGAGAGAAAGGGAGATCCTGCCTGTAAATATTCTTTTGGTGCTTTTATAGTTTCAGAATGTTTCCTCTTCATGTTTTTGTAAACATTGCCTGGCTCTGTGAATCTGAATGTTTTCAGTTCCTAAACTTAGGCTTATTTTTTCACTAAAACAACAGTTACGTGGGTTAGACAAGACTTAGTTTTGCCAAGTTTTCGAGGAAGACTCCAGAAAGCAAAGAAATCTCGAGAGAGGCAAGCAAATGTCTTCAGCAGTATTTAAGCTACAAACCTCCTATTTTTAACACAAACGTCTTATGTTTTAACCTTGGGGTGGAATCTTTCTGCGGTTGTTGGACTTCTCAAGGTTTTGGCCAACCGGATTTAGCTAAGTTAGCCGAGCAGGCCAATTGTGCTTGGTTAAGTAGTGTTGGGATGAATGACACTTTTTAATTGAATTTTTTTCAGTCAATTTCATTTAATTTACTCGAGACTCTCGTGACGATGGTTTAACTACGAATAAACGAGATTGCAGTACCGTCTTAATTTATGGTAAATACGGAGCATAAGAAAAATATTTAAAATAGCAAATGGATAGGACAAGAAAAAAAACGAGACTTTTAAGACTCCAATCAACATCAACATCGATAAATAGGTTCAATTCGGAAGACTAATGGTTTAGCGAAGCTAGACCAACCTTCCAGATAAAACGATAGCCCCACCCTGACCACCAGAACTGTATCACTGATCCTTACAACAGTACTAAATACTTATTAAAAACAAGGCATGCACGAAAGAAACTATATAAGCAAGAAGGGAACGATAAGTAAACCCGATGCATTTTGAGAGACTTATTTTCACCGATGAGTTTATTTACTGCTTCAGAGTCTGATGGAAGAAAGAAAGTGACGTAGTAAGCCAGGGGAACACTTGAAATTAAAGAATACACTAACGACGGTTAAACATAGGTGTGGGTGCTTGTCTGGGGCTTGGCAATTTACACAATCGATGGGATCATGGATAATACTCACGTTTACATGGATGATATAAAACAGAATTTAAAGGAAAGCACTATTAAATTTGGTAAGAAAGGACATTCTTTTTTAGAGCAAGTCGACGACCCGAAACACATAGCTCGGAAAGCTCAAGAATGGCTAGTATATAATTCACCTAACAGACCAGACATCACTCCAATCGCCCGATTTAAACCCTATCGAGCGCTTGTGGGATCATATTGGAAGGCAGGCTAAAAAAAGAAGATTAAAAACAAATACCATCTAAATGAAAAGATTTGAAGGACTGGCGCAAGTTAAAGGGCTTGAATATTACGTACTAGCCTTAACGGTTGCCCATAATGATGTCCTGTTGGTATGATAAGATTTTCGCGAAGAATATGAAACGTGTCCAAAAACTGCCATTAAACGGTAAAAAGTATTTTTGTATATAACCTTATTAAGTTAGTTCTGAACGACTGTCGTTCCACAAGGAAGTATCCTAGGTTCAATCCTTTACACCATAGACACTACTGCCATGCCTAAACATCCAAACTCATAACCACGCGGATATCATGCACTCTTATCTACAGACTCCAATCCTATCCACAGAATCAATACAACATCTTAGCGTCATTACAGACAGGTGCACTCGGGACGAGCTAAAAAACCAACAATCTACGTTTACGCTCAAACGTCAAACCTACTCACCAATGCACATAAATCACAAGGTAATACCACCATCCAAACAAGTCCACTACCTTGGATTTTACTTAAATAGCCCACGTACAAGATTAAAACGACAAGAACTTAACAAAACATATGGACTACTCAGACACCTATTGGGACCATTAACACTACGCATAAATAACTAATTAACCGCTTAAAACACAATCATCAGATCTATTTGGACTTCCGGAGTTAAAATATAGGGCTCGGCCAAATCCTCCAACATCCAGCGTATCCAATCCTTCCAATCAAAAGTTCTCCGCAGTATGTTCAATGCTCCCTTCTATGTCACCAATCAAATGATCCATAAAGACCTTAAAATCCCATTCGAGAAGTATCTGATTCGAACAAAGTTCCTCAATTTCACTCGAAACTTCCATCCTAACATCCTAATCTACTCTTTCTTCAACGTAGCGCCCTTATAATCCGTTTAAAACGACGATGGCCTCATGATCTCTTATGTTAACCCTCCCAATTAAATAAAAGAGAGTTCCAGCATTGGCTTGTTTCTTTCCCATTGCCTCCTGGTCTGACAGATCTGTCAGGTTTGTACAAAACTATACTATTTGCTCAATTATATTTATTTTTTACAGATAGCAATAAATAAAATAAATTTTAAAAAAAAGTTCTGAACGAAACCTTCAACCAACATAAACAGCCATTAATCCTAAACGCTCTGCCAAGTCTTTATGGTCGGATTGTGATTTATGTTAATGAAGCATTAACTATGTATAAACAGTATGAATCGGATATCAGACCATAAAAGCCTCCCGATGTTCTTTCCTTGGCACGTTTGAACGGCATGGTATTCGCGACGAAGGAAAAACTTGTAGTAAAAATAGATTAATACTTTTTAAGGCATGAATGATTTAGCGGTACGACTGTTTCCGAGGTGGAAGCCAAGGTCAGAAATATTCATTAATCGTTTCATCCGGAATGGCGTGTTGTCGCTTGTAAATGTTTAACATTACCCCTTGACGTTGTTACTGACAAATCGAGGTCATGTTCACAATTAACGAAAAACTAGATAGTTGCTGTTTTTACTGGTATGTACTCCGATGGAAGAAAAAATTGAAATGTGGCCAAACAAAATTAATAAAAGAACAATCAATGGTTGAAATTTGTTACACTCGATTAAATAATTCGGGGTTTGGTATTGTACTTATATAGCGTAGTCCAATAGGACACATAGGCCAAACACATTCCCATCCCGACAACCCGCCATGTCCCCTTAATTGATGAAAAATTATAGGATGACCATAATCTCTTACTTTATGCTCAGTTCTATGATGAATTTAAAAATATATTATTTATCATTCAATGATGTATAGTTTTCTTTACCTATAAAGGCTCAAATGTTGGTCCTGAGAGATCTACACACGACCATCTCGAAATCGTGGAGCGAACGAACGGCACGATATTTCACGCCAAAGGATCAAATTTTCCATTATAAAATTTAATTATATATTATTTGACATCAAAACCGCGTGATTAAGACAAATAGAAAGGCTCAAATATTAGTCAGAAATAGACACAAATATTTGGCCTAAAAGGTGTATATAGGAACAGCCTTTTATCGCGATATCATGGAGCGATTGAACGGCACCTTATATCGTGCCAAAGGATCAAATTTTCCAATATTTTATTTAGTCATATATTATTTGACATCAAAACCGCGTGGTTCAAATAAATAGAAAGGCTCAAATAAATATTACGTCCACAAACGATCACTCTCATTTTACAAATCTTTGCAAGGTGGAGGCACAGTTCCAGCGGCGAAAAATTAAAGGATGACCGTAATTTCCTACTTTATGCTCGGTTCTATGATGTTTTAAAAATATATTATTTCATATTCAAGAGAGTATAGTTTTCTCTATCTTTAAAGGCTCAAATCTCAAGACACACGAACACTTTCATCTTGTAAATCATGGCGGATTGGAACTACACGATTTACAGTGCGATATATGAAATTACGACCAACCCCATTTCATTCTGTGATAAAGTCTAACGTAAATTTCCACCTGATAATGGAAAATATTGTAATTTGAAATTTTGACAAACTTTTTTATTTCTTAAACTAGATTAGCGTGGCTGAAGATGATTCAGTTTCATAAGTTTTATTACATTATTTAATTAAAAAATAATTAAACCGTCTGGTACGAGACGAGAAGAAAATATACATGAAAGAATAAGACTGCGCCCTTCTTGACTCCTGTCGTGCAACAGTTCAACAGCGGTCAGCGAGCTATTTAGGTATCGACCCGGCCGGTATCGATTTCACTCTAGCTCGTCATTTAAATGACAAAAGCACATCGGGCAAGATCGATGTGAGCTCAATTTTAATTTAGTACTTACTGGGTAGCGGGTAGAAAGAAAAAGAAAAAACATCAAGTACTTACATGTCTCTCCCTCGATTTCGGTGTAATCGGCCCGGCCCCTCAAACAGTGCACCATAATCCGAGCTTAAAAAGAGAAAAAGTCCACCTATCAACGCACAGCGTGTTTAAGTATTGTCGAAACAGGCCAAACGCAAGAGATGCTCGTAAAACATTGATTCAACTTGCAATCCCAACGGACGGAGAATTTACGGAACTTCTTTTGGTAACCTCAATAGACAAACTACAGCTACACGATAACCTCCCGAGGCTGGGACAATCGATTGACTGACAGCTGTTGTTTGTTTTGTGACTTGGAGGTGTCTCGGATCCGTTGCCTTCAGAGTTTCTCTCCTTTGATCCTTTTTTTTTTTGAGAAAAATGTCCCTAAAAGACGTCGGCCTTTGTCAATCCGCGTTCGCCTTTCCGACCTGGAGCCGAGCGCGACTCTCCAACGATAGACCACTCGCACCTCACGCCCGTAGATCTCTCGTCTGAGACCGGTAGACCAAACTGGAAGACTTTCGAATCACAACTCGCTTCAAATCTGTACATATGTTCCAATAAAAAGAAAATCTGTTAAAACTCGCGTTTTGTTCACGTAAATTTTAAGTTGGAAATAAAATTTCCCAGCTGAACGGTTGATTTTGCCGTCGGTTTCGGAGATTAGGGTTTTACTAGTGGTCGGAACGATTACCGATCATTTTTATTTACACAAGCAGTGATGATTACAAGGAAAAAAACACGAAATCCAAGGATTTTCCAACTTTTTATAAACAACGAGAATCGAGTTAATCAATATAAAATAATTCATTTATTACCTTATACTTATGTTTATTAACTTTTTCACAATTTAAGTACACAGATTTTAATGATAACAGGTGTTAATCTACCAACTTATAACCGTATCACTCACTACCTTTGCTAAATTTGAATATTTTTTAAAATATTTGCCAAAAATAATGCAATAAATTGCTTCATCTAGATATAAAATCACAAAAGTTGCATCGAGGTGTTTATGTATAAATCATACAGAGCTAAAAATCAAGAAGCTTAAAGTAATTGGGATCAGCTGTATTTTATTTTTGGAATTTTTATAAACTGTGCTGTGCTGGTAGGGTAAAATGAAAAATTGTATTACATGAAATGCAAGAAAATAAGATTTTTTTAAAGGGGCCGGAAGGGTAATTTTCGCCCCGAAACTTTGGCCTAGTGCTCCAATCCAGGTGGGCCGATGCACCAGTTATTTTATTTACTTTTTATTCATTTATTTATTACTTACGTCTAAAATTAAATAAAAAAAGGCACAGGCATGAAATGTGCATATCACATAACCAACACATTACCTGTGAAAATCAAATGAGAATGCCTCAACATGAGTAATAAGTGGGCTGAAGCAAATTCCTGAGAAACTCCTACCTGATATATTAGAACAAAAACCACAGAATACACTGATGATTAAAATGAAATGAAGAAAAATGACTGTATGAAGCTTTCAAAAGAGCTTGGAGCTAGCAGTGCAAATAAGCATCCAAGATAACCATTGACAATTTCATAACCTAACTTGCGATATTTCAAAAGGTATATCCATATCCTTGTCTTCTCAGGCATGAAATGAAGAAAAAGACTTTGACAATTATGACTGATTTTTTTTTTAAATTTTTTAAAAACTGCAAAGTTCAGTATGTTGTTTACCAATGCAACGAGAGGAAGCGAACTATCACTTCCATTGTGACAATGGGCCAAATCACAAATATAGTAGTTATTTTAAAGTAATAATGCTAAAGAAATAAGCAATAACCACAATGGGCTTTGACATACAAGAGTACACAGATGGCATTGTCGAGTCTCAAAACAATTAGAGGAAAATTTGATAAGTTTCTGGGTAAATTATTGCAAAAAGCTTTAAATTTAACACTGCAATGTGCCAGGAAAATAAATATAAACCCCTCAAATGCAAAACTTGTAAGTTCACCAGGGAAAAGAAGCTCCATCTTACAGCTCTAACCCTGTGAAACACGAAATAAACCTTTCTTAAATTTCATATCTTGGAATAATTCTCTCACAAACTCCGTCTCTTACCCTACAGACTAGAACCAAAACCAAAGATATGCTATGAAATGAAAATGGGTGGAGAAAAAGGACTGAATGAAATTAACAAAAAGTTTGTTGCTAGTAGTGTGAATAAGCATCCACAATAACTGTTGACAGATTCATCATCCAATTCCAAATTTCACATGTTTTCTTTCTGTCTGACTTCTCAGGTGGGGGAAGAGGGCATGTGTGTGTGTATGCTCTTCTTTTTAAATTATTTGGAGTAGGTATACAATAATAGTATATACAGGGGGGGGGGTTCACATTCAGGTTGGGCCTTGCTACGGTGTCTGGCTCCCTGTGCAAGTTAGCCTCAGAAGAAGTGGTCTTTTCTGTGTTGAATTGTTAATGATTTTTATCCACAGCCTTGAAAAACAAGCTCTGCAGATGAGGCAAACCTAAATATAAGGCTGTAGTAGGTAGTGTTGGGTGCATCTTGGTCAGCGGTTAAATACCTCTCCTTATGGGTGGCTCGCTGCCCATCCCACTATATCTGGATATTCACTATCTACTACTTTACAGAAGAAGAAAACAAATACTGGGAGTTACAACTAGGTATTAAACAAGCAAAAAGACATTTCTTTAAATAAAAAAAAGGAGATAGAGGAAATCCTACTTAACATTAATGAATTAAATACTCTAACTGGTGTATTTACTGGGCATGATCCAGTAAAGTACTACCTTGGTACAAAATTAGTCTATAATAGATAAAGACCAGTGTTTTATATATAGTAAAAACAAACAACAGCGCATGTTCTATACAACTCTGTAATAGCTAGTAGTAGTACAAACTTACGTTAATGCTAACCATCCTATTGGTAAGACATGGAAGAATCTGCTTATTTATCCAATGAAGATACAAATAGTTTATCAGCAAAATTGTCAAAAACTTCACTAAACTAACTCCTAGACTTGAAAAACAGAGCTGAACACAGGTGCACAATATGCCTACATTGCTTCTATGCCAAGGTTTCATATCAACTTTAATTTAATTAGACAAAATATCTCTGTAACATTAGGTTTTCCTTTGATCTTTGATGCATTGTTCCTAACAAGCTTGCACCTGTTCACACAGGTTCATAGAATTTTTTAAATTAAACTAAACTATTGAAAATCCGAGGTTTATAACATGAAGAAATGGACATTTTTCAAATAAAAAGTACTTTTATAAGTGCCTAGTGGAAGGACCTCTAATGCACTAGAACTTTTCTCTACATTACAGCAACTATCAGTAGTGGTTCCATTTTTGATTGCCTTGATTACAAGACTTGTTAACACATGTACATGTGTTTAAAGAGATGATTTAAAAAAAATGTAAAATCAACCATTTTACCTGTGATACACTGAGTAGTTTATTAATGAATATTGGCAATTTGTTAATTCTGATTTTTGAAATAATTTTATAAAGGTTTTATTGCCAAACCATCACCTACTCTCCTTAAAACTTATACATTTTGTATGATGAGGAAAAGTAGAACAAAAAGTGATAATTGAGGGCACTCTCAACACGGCACGCAAGGATGGCACAATTACACAGAAGACACTTTGAGCCCTGAAGATGATCTCAATAAAAGATCGAAACGTTGGCACGATAAAGAAAATGTTTTTCTGAAACCTACATCACACCCAACCACATCTCACGATACCTGAATAACTATCAATTAACGGTCACTAATCTCTACACATTGTGTACAGATGTGCTCTGCCCCTAGGTACTCCAGGGGAATGCTTCTTACATTGAATAAGACATTTTTATATTGGAGTTCATTGTCATATGTTAATTTAAAAATATCTTAAAATTGCTATACTAAGTTTTGACAACTACACAATTTAAAAAAGTTAACAACTACAGGCAACTGCCAACAACTTTTCCATCAATATTTGTTAATATTGTGACAAGGTGTCATGTCTGAATAAATGATCTGATCAACTATAAACACTTAATTGCTCAACCAAACTTAATTAGCCTACATTTAACCCAGTAAGATATTTGAGCATTAATTCATAATGCAGTTTACAAACTTGTAAATACAATATAATATAAAGTTGGATGACTGAATAAATATAACCAGGATTAATGACCTATAAGGCGAAGTTCATATTGAGTGATTTTTATCGACTTGACGGATTATTTGACTATGGGCTTTCTAGCTTTGCTTTTATGTTGAAACCTTTCAGCTCAAATCATGGATTTACAATGACACCAAGACACAAAAGTTGCTTCAGCCCATCATTCAATGTTTTACAGTGCTGTTCTGACCTATTTTTCTCTGTTCACACTACGAGGTGGGCCTGAGAAGCTTTGGGCAACAAGGTAAGTAATTAAAGCAGTTTTCTATTTTTGTCCTTTTGAAATTACATTTTGTTAACTGTATAGGATGGATAAAATAAACAATGAAACCCTCGTACTGGCCATCTGTTTGGAACACATTCAGTGCTCAGGAGCTGTAAAAAGATACCACGGTCATGCTTGTAAAACTGAAAAAATTCTCTTCATGCCTTCAATTGAGGCCATAACATACTAAAAAACCCTTTCTCCGAACGCTCTGATATAGAATGGGATGGATCCATACACACCACTAATCCATGAACCTAGTTGTTTTTGACATCATTCCTAGTGTGAAAAGTTGCATGGTTATCGAACTGACAAAAACTGCTCTGTGTGAACTCACCCTAATTATTCCGTACCTTCTACACTATTTTTACACTTCGTATAGGAATGTAAATAAAATATTAGAAACTGAGAATTCGTTTAAAACAAGCTGTTTATTGTCCCTAACTTAGAACACCATTACAATGGTTATAATAAAAAAGAAGAGAAAAGATGAGGGTAAAGCAGATCACTCTACAACTTCAATTTGGTACGCCTCCAGTGACGCCTCTTGGCATTGTACCTGTAAAAAAATAAAAACACATTACATGTTGATTGTGAAAATTTGAATTATTATTCACAAATTGAGGAAACCACCCAACAACTACTATACAAAGAATATTCACACGCTGTCTGCAGTTCAAAGTACTGTGTTGCTTAAACAGTAAACTTTCTTGTTAAACATTTCCCACTCTTACTAGTGCATAAAAGTATTAACTAAAACAATACACTGCTTCTAAGAACTTGAAACTGTGAAGACTAGAGCACATATCATGCTTTCAGTACCTCACATAAGGGGGGGGGGCAAAGAACATGTTATCAGGCGGATCGTCCTGAATGGGGTAAATTTTTTTAACTATGGTATGTCAACAAAGGGTACATGGACCACCAGATTAAATCGGGGAACATTTATGAAACAAAATGTGACAGCAGATATATTTAAAATAAATCATTAACAACTTCAGGTTCATCCATGGAGAAATTGATGAAGATTTGAGAAAAACAAAGCCAAATTTAACACTAGAAACATTTGTCGAATTCATGACGAGCAGTGAGGAATAAAGTATTTTAGAAAATCATCTATTTCATTTTTGATTTTGAATATAACAAAATTTGACCTGACCGCTTCTCACGACTTCAACAAATGATAACCACCAGACACTAGAAAAACACTTGTTAAATAGTGGACGAAACCAGCCACTTTGGTGACTTCACTTCCTCGCCCAATACCTGCTGTCTCTTGATGTCCCTAACACGTCTACTCTAACGAGTTCAAACTATAGAAATGCTCATGCTTCGTTAAATTAACACAGGTTAAATAATGATTGATCAATGGCCAACATATCAAATAAAAACTTGATAAATAAACTTTTGGAAAAGAATCAAACTGGCATTGTTATAAATCTCATCATAGTAAAGATAAATAAAATTGTTCAGTGAAAAATGAACCATTTGAGACGAAAGTATGTCACTGGTGAAATATGTACCAAGTTCAGTTCAGTTAAGGTTACAGTAAGGAGTTAGTCTCTTAGGACCTTGCGCACTGCAATCAATATTGTCTATTGTGCCATCTCCATTATTGTTTAGAGCTATTTGCTAAGTTCATCGTTTTTTTTTTATCAAATCTAAAAATATAGTTTTATTAAAAGCTTCCATGTATATCCTCTAGATCAGGGGTTCCAAACGTTTTAGCCAGTGGACCCTTTCACAGAACAAAATTTAGGATGGACCCCTCACATTTAAATATTTAAAATTAGCTACTTATAGTATACGTAGTAACATAGTAGTACTACAAAAATTGGATGACGATTCTATACAAAAATTGATGAGCATTCTATACAAATAAACGGTACTGTTAAATAAAATCTACAAAAACACGTTTTGATTCAAACAAGGTTCAGAATAATTACAATTTTGGTAATCATCCGTATCAAAGTTGTTAAAAATTAATATCCAAACCAGCAAATAAACTAGACATGTTAAGTTTATATGTGAGAAAATTCCTTACCTAATGGTGTTTCCAGTCCTCATCCTGATCCATTGCGGGATGGGCCTGTTCTGCTTTAGCTTTTTCGCTAACTTCTGCTTGACTTTAAACGTCTTGTGAGCCGACTGGAAAGTGCGAAACGAGTAGTTGAAAACACAAACAAATCCAGAAGAATCGAAAATTGGGTAAGTAGGATGTTTTTAGATAAAAAATACTCACCATGGTCGCAATGCGAGATCGGTGCACAAGTGGAGATCGGTAGCGCTGGAGGAGACGTCTCTATAGGTAAACCGGTCTACTGCCTTCTCTATAGGTGAACTCTGATTCAAAAGGCTGAGCTAGAAAACGACGCCAATTTTTAAATTTTCACCTTGTAAAACAAACCTTTAGAAATCGTAAAGTTGCGATTATATCAGAAATGAATATTTTCCCAAAAGAGAAAAAAATCTATTAATGAAACAAATATAAAACAAGTAACTAAAACAATATTTTATTTTAAATAAAATGTGTTTCTTAGTGACCTGTTGTTTCTTAATTTGTTGAATTCGTGAGGAGCGGTCAAGAATGAAGTAGTTTAAAAAATACCTTTTTCATTTTTTTTGCTGACGTTTCGACCTTTATTCGGGTCATCCTTACCCAGGCCAGAAATGTCGCTAAAAAAATGAAAAAGGTGTTTTTCTAATCTACCTCATTCTTGACCGTTCCTCACGACTTCAACTAATTTAAATAAAATATTTAATCTTCTTTTTCTTTCTGTTTTTTTTTTGTTTTAGAATGCTTTATTGTTAAATAGATAATTAATAATATGTACCTTCACAGATAGTATATAAAAATATATCTATAAATTAAATAATACTAAACAAATGGTTTTGCAACGTATTAAATATTACTTTATTAAACTGATTATTGACATTCAAAAATATTTCGATTCAGTTAGAGAAACGAGTTATTGAATCCATGCTCTTGCCCTTCCTACCCATCTGATAGGATACAGGGAGCTAAAGTAATTAACTCCCCTAAACTTGTGGTGTCCCTCAGGGAACAGCATTGGGCCCTTTGCTATTTATTCATTACATTAATAACTTATTAAATTTAGATGTAACAGGTTAACCATTTTGCTAATGATTCTTTATTCCTTTTCTTTTTTTGTGAAGGATTTGAAAAAATACAGGCTTCGATAATTTTATAAAAATAAATACTGGTTTAAATAATATGCTTCTTTTAAATGTTGAAAAGATAAACTCCCTGTTTTTTTTTTGATGACACAACATTACATTCATGTAACATATTCAGTGTAATGTCAGAATATTTAAATATCCACTTTTCAAATTGTACAGGATTCAAATTCAAGGAGTTTTTCAATAAATGACTGCATTCAACTTAGTTTCTCTGATTGCTATTTCTTGGGAGTCACCTTGGATTTTTTTGTTTTTCTCTTGTATGTTTTTGGCATTGTGATACTAAGTATGATTGGTATATGTACAATAACATTATTAATATTGAAGGCTGATAATTAAATTTGTATTTCATCGATGAAATTAGTCGGACCGAAAGGTATAATCAATGATCACACTTTAAATGATTGGCAAATGTTTATTGTTTTAATATTTTTAGCTCTGTGTGCATTTCAGGCAAGATTGGAAGTTGTAACTTGGGTTGGGAAGTATGGCAGGTTACGGTTGTCTATCGACTAAAGGTTAAAGGATATTTTTTGAATTAGTCCAGTCCGGCCTGGGCAAAACCTGCTTCACATTTCAAAAAATCAACACGTGTTTTTATTATTTACATTTCCATAATGTTTTACTTAATCGGGATCGGCCTCGGCGATGCTAAAGACATCACGGTAAAGGGGCTCGAAATTGTCAGAAAGGCAGAGAAAGTCTTTTTGGAATCGTACACATCTGTGCTATCAGTTGGAAAGCATGTTCTAGTAAGAAAATCCTTTCAAGCAATATTATTTCTTCCTTCTTACCTGAGGTTTCATATTTCTAACCAAAAAGTTAAAAACAAAAAATTGTTAAAATATTTAGATTTGTATGAGATTCAAAATTCAATAGACTATCTGAACCATACTAAATAAATTCTTTATGCAATATATAGGTAATTAATTGTATGTACACATATTTCATTCAGCAATGTTTTAGTTAAAATGTGTAAAATTATATTTTCTGTTGTGTATTCTGTATAATATGCATAATTAAATTGATGAATAAATTAATACATATTTGCTTAGTGGTTATAATTGACCATAGTAATTTTTCGTTTTACCTAAGGTTTTTGGCTGAGATGAAAAATTAATGTCACAAGTGGGATTTGAACCCATGACCTTTGTCTCAATACGCCGCTGCTCTAACACTTTAGCTAGCGTACTTCGATCCTCTCGGACACAAACTCCTCATCTCAATGTACGACCAATTTTCTCTCTTTGGTAAATTTTCAAATGTGCGTAATCAGGTTTCAATTCTCAGCGATTTATAAAGTGGCAAAACAGGGAGATTTTAGTGAAGTAATTACTTCTTTTAATTATTAAATTAATCCATATTTGCTTAGAGGTCATAATTGACCATATTAATTATTACAATTAATTATTATTTTTATCCAAGGTTTTTGGTTGAGATGAAAAATTGTGTCACGAGTGGGATTTGAACCCATGAACTTTGGCTCAATACGCTGCTCCTCTTACACTTTAGCTATCGTGATTTCGATCCCCTCGGACCCAACTCCTCATTTCAACCTACAACCGTTCGAATTTTCTCTCTTTTTGCCATATTTTCAATAGTGAATAAAGCTTGTCTAGTTTTTTGTTTTGTTTTGTCTACTTTGTCCATTTTTGCATAGTAAATGATATGCATATTTTATGATATATAACTTCATGAAATTATATTGTTTGATTTTGATCACCCTGACAGAAATTACCTGTTTCACCGTGGTATAACACTATTACTGTGCTGGAATTAACAAATATATGTGAATATATATAATCTTCCAAAGAAACATTCATTTTTGAGTTAAAAATTCTTTCTGCTATAATAAATAAAACAAAATCCCCAAGGGTACAAAAGAAAATCCAATTCAAGAAAAATATATTAATTTGTTTACCATTAAAATTAATCTTTCATTGGATTTTTTTAGGAGGAATTCTATGGACGGGAGTTAGTAATAGCTGACAGAGATCTAGTTGAACTAGGCTCTGATGAAATTTTGAGTTCAGCCCTTGAAAAAGATGTAGCAATGCTTGTTGTTGGTGATCCATTTGGTGCTACAACTCATGTTGACCTTTTAGTACGGGCCAAACAGTTGGGTATACCAACAAAAGTGGTTCACAATGCTTCAATTATGAATTCTATCGGATGCTGTGGCTTGCAGGTACAATATCTGTGTGTTTATTTATAATAGGTTACTATTCTCTTGTTTTTCAGCTTTATACTTTTGGGGAAACAGTATCGATCCCATTCTGGACTGAGACGTGGAAGCCAGACAGCTTCTTTGAAAAAATATGTAACAATAAACAAAGGGGTCTGCATACGCTGTGTCTGCTCGATATTAAGGTGAAAGAGCCTACATGGGAAAGCATGACAAAAAAGAAGAAGGAATACCTGCCGCCGCACTTCATGACGGTTGCTCAAGCAGCACAGCAATTAGTTGAAATAATAAAGATAAAAAATTGTCCAGAATTGTCTGTTACAGTGGATACCTTATGTATCGGTGTTGCACGTGTTGGGTCAGATGACCAAATCTTCAAAATGTGCACTCTGCAAGAGATGACCCAAGTCGATTTAGGCCCTCCTCTTCATTCCTTGGTAATTGTTGGAACCATGCATCAAATAGAGAAGGAATACATCGAAAATTTTGCAGAATGTGGGGGTGCGATTAAATAGCATTCTTTTTCCATTTCAATGCAATGATATATTATACAAAATAAATAATACTAACTGAAAACATTGGTTTACAATAAAAATACCCATGTCCCCCCTATTTTTACATATAGAATAGATTATTATATTATAAATGGTAACATTTTTTCTTACATATCAGCTTAAACTTAACAACAAAAATATTCTTTACATAGGAATGTACAATGTTTTTGGTTTTGTTTTGTTTACCCTTTTTTGAGAATTTCGGGAAATAATTCTTCAATCACAAGATCAAAAATAGTATAAAATAGCTGAAAAAATAAAGAATCAACTTTGAGTATGAAAACTAAATAGCTTTATGATATAAATGTTTCACAAAAAAATTTGGGGTCCTTGTATTATTGGCATTAACCAAAACTGTGAAAGTAAGATATTCTCACGCCTACATTTTTTTATATCAATAACAATTAAACGATTATTTTTCCAATTTAACTAATTAAATGAAATATAAATATGTTACATGTTCAATATCTGTATACTTAAATGAATTAATTCTCTGACCAAATATGTATATAATTTTACCTTTTTATTTTCAAAAAAAAAAAAAATTCTTTTAAAATAGGGTTAATCCAAGAGACATGTGGTTTTTATACAGGTTAATTATTTCACATTTTTTCATCTCGTTTCGGGCTGTTTTTTTTTCTGCCCATCATACAAGAAGTACACTCCATTAGTTTAAATTGTAGCATTAATAATTAATATAATTTACATTTTTATTTTAATTTTATGGTTAAAACATCAATATTAATTATCTAGCAGTCTTGCTTGTCATCTCGTTCACTATTGTAGTGCTATTAATGTGATGACAGGCGAGACTTATAGGTAATTAATATTGATGGTTTAACCATAAAAAAATAAAAATGTAAATGATATTAATTACTAATGCTATAATGTAAACTAATTGAGTGTAGTTCTTGTATGATGGGCAGAAAAAGAAAAAACAGCCCAAAACGAGATGAAAAAATGTGAAATAATTAACCTGTATAAAAATCACACGTCTCTTGTACTAACCCTATTTTAAAAAAATCCTTTTTTAGGAAAATAAAAAAAGGTAAAAAATATACGTAATAATCTACAGACGTGTTATCTTACAAAAATATAAATATAACTAAAAATATAAATTATGCCCAAGTACCCTTTTATATATTAAAACAAAATAACACAAATATTTTAAAAGTTATTACCTGTTTGTTAAGAATTGGGTTTTGTACAATTAGAAAGACAGTCTGAAATAAAGTATGTGAGATTCCTTTGAGAGCGTTGATTTTCTTACTGACTTCGTCAGAGATTTCTTTTGGGTTTGATTTCCCTTGTTTTTCAAAAACTACCCCTATAAATAAAATATGAAAATTGTAATTACTAGCACAATGTGTCAAAGGAAGACTGAAGGATCAATGGAAGACTGTGTTGCAGTACTCACACTGAAGAAGATTGATGAGATTTGCTATTCTTTGAGGAACGAGAAGAGATTTTACTTTCTTTTCAATAAAGTATGTTATAATCATGTCCAAAGGTTTGTTGAGCAAAGAGTGCACAGCCAGAGCCAACCTCACTACAAAATTTGGCACTTTGAACACTTTTACTCCTGGAAAAACAAAAAATGAAATCTACAAGGCAATGTGTTCAATGTGTTATTTACCTAAAAGCAATAAGCAGTCTGAAGGCCCTTTTAAAATTGGAATGTTTGGTGTGTTCTTTGTTTGAAATGAGGGAAAATTGCTAAGCTTGAGACCTAAATTATCTTTGAATACTGTATTGGTTATACACCTGATTCTCCGAGGTGTCAAGTCTAAAGTTCCATCTTTCCAATCTTGCCTTAAAAACAAAACAAAAAATCAAAATAATATAATGCTATAAAACCTGGTTAATAAGTAGTCACCTGCTTTTTTTGCTATCTGTAGACAAGAAGAAAGTAGTAATGAACGAATCAATATTTTGGCCTCGTTCTTTCCTAAGAGAAATAGGAACGGATTTTCTTAAAAGTCGGCCAAAGGCGTTATCGCTCACGCTGAACTCTCCAGGGCTAGTCAAAAAAAAGAACAAAAGATCCGAGCCCCTTAGCGATGGATTTGACAAAAGCTTCTGTAAATATGCTTCATATACCTTGAAAAGTAAGGTGAAATATTAAATAGAATAGAATATTTATATTTTTGCGGAGAATGTTTTGTATATTGACTTTTTAAATAATTTAAAAACTATTAAAAAGTTCAACATTAAAAAAAAATTACATGAGGTTCAGTTGGAGGACTGGGGGCAAGTAGACCACAAGGGGGTAACTGAGTATCTGGAAAATCTCCATGAAATTCTGTGAGCTTTGTTTCAAGGGTGTAAAAATCTGCCAGCCTCCTTTCAACAGTCCATTTTCCACATGACTGACCTAAAATTTTTCATGTTAACCTTTACGATCAACTGTAATTTTCATCAATCTACAAACCTTCGACGTATCTGTGGATGCGAATCGTATATGTCGGCGTCAATTTGCCTGTTGACAAGTCTAGTTTGTTATCAACGTTGTTAATCCTTATTTTCCAAGAGCTCAAATCACGCTCTTCCTCTTCTGCCATCAATACTAAGTCATCCCCCTGAATAAATAAAATTGCAATTGTAATTTGATTTAAAACCAGTGGAAAAGAAGCTTACAAATTCTGTATCCGCTTCCAATTGCAACACCTCACTATCATATGCATGCCCATCTAATATGGTCTGAGATCGAAGAGCACCTTTTATCTTATGTAGTTTAGAGCTTAATTTAGAAACAGTACCTTCTTGTTTCTTAGATCGTCTGTTGAATAAATTGTTTTAGAGGGTGAATCAACAAACAATATAAATAAATTAAAAATATATTAATAGACTATTATTGCTAGTTTGAATGTTGTTATGAAATCATTTGCTGTAGGAGAGTGGATGCTGTTTTACCAGAAACTGCTTGTTAACATCAAATTTTCAGCAGAAGTTATTTATGGGTAAAAACTGTTAAACCCCATATATTACTACTAACAATTATTAGCATAAAAAAAATTATGGGAATAAACATACTGAATATAAGTACATTATAATGTGCAGCATCAACTTAAAAAAATAAAATAAAAAAATGGCTTATTTATGTATTTTTTAAAATTAAACAATAAATTAGTAAATATAATTAGTATTTGATAAAATTGCAACCAACTAGTTTATAATTTTAGTTAGTTTTTGTAGAAACCAACTCTTGGAAGGCTTGGACATAGGAAAGAGCTGAAAATAATTAAGCAGTATAATCTATAGTATTTTATCATACTCTTCAAAATACAAAATATTACCAAAAATAACTGTTGTAAATGCTTACAAATGTAAATTTTGACATTTTCATTTGTTATTTTTTAAGCCACCTCTTTATTTACTTATTTATTTTTTTTAATTCAAAATTTTACAGGGTGATTTTAATCCCTCCTCCATAATTTTTTACTGGGAGTTTTTCTGGATATTAATTTAGTTACATAAAAGTACCTTGTATCATGTATTAATGAAAACATTATATAAAATAATATATACATAAAACTTTATGACTATGGAAGTGCTCCTGAAAATTTTTTTTCCGCTTTGAGTTTTTCACATAAATTTATCCTGTTAGAAGAACTTATTTAAGCATTTTGATATGGCTTAAATTGTTACAAACCGTACTTGAAGTACACAAACACCACCACATGGTTTCAGTAAATGGGTAAAGCAAAAGTAAGCAAATTCCATCCCACACCAATGTTACAAATGTTATACAATAGTACACATATAATTATCAAATTGGATTTAAAAAAATTAATTATGTGATTAGAAGAACTTTAAAATCTCAACAATTATGTTAGTTACACTTACCCGTGTTTTGCCGGGGATCCAGTTAAGGATGGGGAACTGAATTATTTTAATGGAAAAAAACACCCAATTAATTTTATTGTATTCACATAGAATCACATGCCTTTAAAATCATGCAAATTTTTACCAGGAGTAAAACATACCTTGCTCCTGATATGTTATAACTTGCTGGTGTCCTTGGACCACAAAGCCATGTGAAAAACTGTAGGCATTTTTTGGAATAAATAGTTTTATCTAAAATTTTATTTATTTTGAACAAACCTCATCACTTGTATGAAAGAGTGGGCAATAGTTTTTGTCCAACAGGCTGTAAGCATGTTCATAGGCTTGAAACAATGGTCGAGACGTCCTAAGCTTGGTAACATCTTTAGATAAAACTGTACAAAGGAAGAAATGATAATTTAAACTGTTTAAATGTTAGAATGGACCTTGCTTACTTTTCCTCATTTGCACTACTAGGTCAGGTGGGAATCCAATGTTGTCGGGTGAGTGTGGGCTGAAGTATACCGAAAATAAGTCCCAAGCGTCTCTATGCAGTAAATCTAATTCAACACAATTCAGTTCAGGTGTCAACATTCGTTTGTTGAATTCCTCTAAAAATTCAATTTGTCATATTATTTAATGGAAACTGTATTATTATCATGTAATCTCTACTGACCTACGTCCAAACAAAACTGCAATATGTGTACAGCTCCTTGGTCCTTTAAAAACTGCATAAATGCATAGAGGAGAGATTGGTCCTTTAATATATTACATAAATCAGGGTGTAGAGCCTAAAGTACATTGTTAAAAATCATGTTCAATTCAAAACGAGACAAATGTCAAAGGTGAATTCACAAACCCAATTGTTGCTCTCCAAGCCGATTTCATTTTTAACAAATCTGTCTAAGAATTCGACTTCAGGTTTATCTAAATTGGAATAATTTGTGAGGTTTTGATTTCCAAGGAGTAGGAGAAGTAGGTTGTTTAAGATTGCACTGTCCGCTGTTGACGCCAATGGAAGAAAAATCCAGCCTGCTAGAATTTCCACCATCATCGCTGAAAAAGTACTGACAAAGAGGACAATCATTTAAAAAACCTCCATAATAAATACTCAGTGCAAGAGTTAAACAAATATTCTTTTGTAAAATACCTGCATTTAAAATTTCTTTGTTCAAGAAGTACAGGCAGTATTTCCTTAACTTTACACCTAAGATAATCGAGTTCAGCTTTCCTGTTATAGACGGCAGGGTGGAACAGGATCCTGCCTGGCCCACTACCAATGCACATATTGATATGTGTTATTACTGCTGGGATCAACTTTGATGTTATAAACAGTCCAATATCGACCTGAAGCCGGTTGTGATTGATGCTAAAGTTCAATTTAAGAAATAAAATCAAGTACCTGTAGCACCCTAGATAGTGCTGTGCTGGATGCGTATCTTATCGTTTGGCGTATCTCGGCAGGGAAACTGCTGTCTATAGATATCTTTTTATACCAACTTTGGATGAACTCTTCCATCACCTTTTCTAGTAGCTAAGAGTTTTCTTTTATTATTGAAGGTAATAAATGATAATTGACATTTGAATTTAACTTTTCTAATTTTTAAATTTAAAAATAAGTAAAGAAAATACAATTATTTTGTTAAGAATTGTTGGTTTTGGCAAGATATTTCATTATTTCAAATTTGTTGGAATATTAAGAACCTTAAAATAAATACAATGTTAAGTTTATTCCAATTTCATTAAAATTATTTTATACTGACAACTGTTTAATTTTACAGTAACATTAATTACATCTTGGATGGCCGTATCAACCTCTTCAGAGACCATAAGTCCAGCCCACGGTTTCTGTTTGTGTACAATTTTCTCTCTGTCGCAGTTCTTGTCATCGCATATGTTGCATTTGTTTGGCTCGGCATCTTCTTTCACGGCAGACTGGAAACCTTTTGTAAGAAAAAGTACAATGCTGGACAACTCGACATTGCATCTAAAATTGGTGAAATTTAACAGTAGAGATGATTACAAAACCCGACTGTACGCACTAGGTATACCTGAAGGATAAATGGAAAGTGACAATCCCCAAAAAGAACGAGGAAAACACTAACAGGCCACATAAAAAACTGAAAACATTTAATATATATTTCCATTAAAGCAGGATAACACACACTGACATAGTTTAACACTAACATGTAAAAGACATAATGAGTATAAAATAAAACAAAAATTATAATGACCAATGATAAAGCATTTTAAGGATATATGAAGCTGATAGTTGAAGTTGCAAAGACACACAAACTTAATTTATTTGAAAATTTGTTTCTCCTACATACAGAGACATTTTATGCAACAAGAGTAAAGGAAAACAACAAACATTCTTAATTCCTTTTAATAAAATAGATTCCACTTAGACAGGGCATGCACACAAGAGATATGCTAAGTCCAATAACTTCCAGTATCTCGGATAGTTGTTCTGGGAATGTTAAACATCCTGGGCACATAAGCTTGACTTTTTCCATCTTCCAACAATGCTATGATTCTATCCGAATCTGTATCACTTAAAACTATCACTCAAACAAATTTGAATCTTAAAAATGGTACAAATTAAAAAACCAAACCACTGGAACATTAGAAGTTTTACAGAAAAACCAACAAAGAAGATTGACTATTCAATAATTTATTTACAAAATCCAATCATGAACAAAAATGGGAGTTTTTATCTGTGTTTTTGTTTATCTATAATCCTTCAAAATGGACCAAATATTATTGTAATATAATCAATAGAGGATTGTCTTAGTAGTAAATAATTAAAAATATTAAGGCTGGCCACTTTTTGCCTCTCAGTGTAGTTCAGAGATCAATAAATCTGGTGTGATGTAGGATTAGAAAACATTTTCGTAATTGTGCCAACGTTTTGATCTTTCACTATTTTTCATAGTCCGCTTGACCAATTAATATCATTCAATTAATTAAGGTTTTTAGTTGAGATAAAAAAGTCAGTGTCGCGAGTGGGATTCGAACCCGAATTGGCAAAAAAGAGGGAACATTCAAAAAGGTGAGGTTGAGATGGGAAGTTACTGCCTGAGAGGATCGAAGTCATGATAGCTCAAGTAGTAGATTAGCGGCGTATCAAGCCGAAGATCGTTTGAATTCTGCTCGTGGCACTGAAGTTTTGATCTTTATTGAGATCATCTTCAGGGCTCAAAGTGTCTGTTTTCTGTGTAACCACTCTTCTACATACAAACACTTTGAACCCTGAAGATGATCTCAATAAAGCTCGAAACATTGGCACGATAAAGAAAATGTTTTTTTAAACCTATATCATACCAGACCGCATCTCACTATCTCCCAATAATCATTAATTAACTGTCACTAAACACCATACACATCAATACAATATTGTATTTGATAGACCAAATTCTGTTTAATAGAACAAAGAATGGATCTGAAGTTTTGTCATTGCTGATCATTTTTGATCTTGCTTTGTTCAAGACCAAATATGATTGGAAATGACTAGGCAAAGGGTTCATCACACTTAGAAAAAATGTTACAAAAGTATGGATGTCAATAGCTGAAATAATTGCATATATAAGGAAGTGTAAAGACTTGATAATTTAATCAATTACTCTGTTTTGCTAAGATGATAAATTTCTTGAGGCTAAACATATGAGACATGTTGATAATGTAACTTTAAAGACTTATCGACATAAGCAGCGTACATAATGAGAAACCGTCTGTCTACTCACCCGAATAAGACTGAAGCTGTTAAAGAGGCGATGAGCAAGATAATACAGACCGACTGGACAAATCCGTCTTTGAGTAGAAATTTGCAATCCAGTTTTGAACCATCATCATCACGTTCCATAATCATTCGTAGCGGTTTTTGACTGTTTTTATTCTTTCCGTGGGTTTATCAGCTTGTCGTCGGACCGTTGGTTATAACATTTCTGTACCATACGAGCCCGAGGTACATCGTTTCTGTTATCATTATTTACTTTCCTGATCTGGTAACAGCGGTCGCAACCTCCCTGTTCTGATATCTGCTTCTGTTATCGCCGTCTGGTCGGAGACTATCGGAGAATGAGCCGAACTTTTTTTCTAGGATTTTCCCCCCGTTGGTCTATTTAAAGTTATTGCTATCTGAAAAAAATCGGACTCTGAATGTACAAAAAGTGACATCATGACTACTCTGGTCAATGCTGACATCTTTCGGATTTTTATTGCAGCATATAGGTCCTTTAAAGGATACCCGGGACATGACAGATTTGTCCCAGTAAGCAGTAATTAAAATTATACTTAATATAAATCCAATACCAAGTTTATATAATTAATAAGTTGTAATCTCGTAAAACACTTACAAACACACAAAAAGTTTCAAAGGCGTTTAGAACAAAAACAATAATAAAATTTTTACGGGTGGGTCATGGATAAACCATAAAGTCGGTTGTGCTTTTTAGGTCCATTATGTTAACGAACAGGAGAAATACGCTCTTTCTGATCGACTATCAATAATTTTGGCTCAATTGGTTGCTATTAATACCTAAAAGCACCCACTATAAAATAAGACTTCACTTTCTCCAAAAGAAACTAAGTACAGTATCTAAGGTACTGTAACCCCTGAACAAACGCTCAGATGGAGAAGATGTAAACAACATACTACATAAGGCCCAGGCACTACTAAGCACTACTAATCTTGGCTAGAGATTATGCAGCAAAACCTGGGGAATAAATGCCATGATGGTGTATTGGTTATACATTACATTGACCAGACCGGTCTATCGACTACATTATGATGGCCAGAAACACTGCATAAGGAGGCACAAAGGAAACTGCAAAGTCTAAAAAGAATAGCTGTCTTATAATAAGAGGAGCAATACGAACTTGTGTCGAAGCAGCGATGGAAACCGCACCTCGATCTCCCACCTTTACTGATTTATGTAGGTAGCTTTCGACAAAGTCAGACTCGTGAGGTACAATGAAATAAAATCAGATTTAGAAGCCATTACGAAATCTGGAGAGAATTACAATAAATAGTAGGCTATAACAGAATCTGAGAAAATGAATATAACGGAAAATAAGAGGAAAATTGAACCTTTCCAAGTGGCCATAGATAACGGATGTTTGGAAGAAAGACGACCCTAAGTTTTATGAAGGTGGTGACTGATGGATCTAAGATAAAACAGAGAGTAGTGTAAGGTTTAAAAGGAAAATACACTCTAGTAAAACCTCTTGGACTCGCCCCAACTAGATTATATTGCATGCAATCCATCGACTCTGTGCACAGGAGTCGATAAAGAAAAATATGAACGGTGCACAGATTTACATACTCGTAGACAGTTAGGCACGTATAACTAAACCCATATGCTTTCATATCCAAACTTGTCTGGGATTGCCTAAATTGCCGAATGGCTGTAGGAACCCACTAGATTACATTAAAGTGGGTTCCAGGAAGTTAAGCTATAGAAGTAGGTTGAGCTGACCAACTAACTAAAAAGCCATCCATGGGACCAGAACCACAACTCGGTACACCAGAGTCGAGCGTCAACGCTTTAACCATTGCGGTTACCGACGCCCCTTTTATTTTTATTTGTTAGTCAACAGAACTAATTTTTCAAATTTTATCGACCGATAACATGTAAAATCGCAAACTACGATGGACTGTCCAACCATATACTCAGATATCTAGGTGAATTTGCTGCTTTAGAACTGCTGTGGTGTTTGTCTTTGCCCAAAATAATGCTTCTTGCAGACTATGTGATCCATTTTACCATTATCTCTGTCACTAATGAAGGATCGATTCAAAAGAGTGATAATTGAGAAGTACCCGATAAAATCAGAGAAAAACTTAACTTTGACAGCCCCATCCAATTGATCATAGAGAACAGCGATCTTTGGAAGAAAGGTAATTTGAAGTTTTAGAAAAGAGCCCTAATATGATACACTGATGGATCAAACATACAACAGGGATAGGATTGTAACTATTCTTCAAGTCGAGGTTCATACAATCGAAATCTGTGCACAGATGTTGATAAAGTAGAAAATGGAAGTTGTACGGATCTACATACTTTCGGATATTCAGAAAATGAAAGACACTAAATGCGTATGCTTTTAGTTCCAGACTAGTCTGGGGATGCCTGAAATGCCTAATGGTCGTAGGTTACACAAAGCTTCAGCTCAGGATTCGCTAAAAGGCCTAACTTAAAATCTACAGTAATATTCACAGACGTCATAATCGAGGACAAGGAGTTTTGAGTTGACGAGTTTTGCGCGTTTACTCAGCTTTACTGAACAAACACAGTTATTTTCTGCTGTTTTCTTACCAGGATTTAATAAGCTATTATTGTTCTCAACGCTTTAAATAACAACCAGTCACTTCTTTGGTACAAAAATGTCGTAATTTTCTTTATCTGATGTCTGTAACAATTTACAGAATATGTAGTTTAACTAAAGCAACTACAAAACTTCTTGTAGAAGTTTGTGAAAAGAAATTCGTTTAGTTTATCAACACGAATAAACAGAAAGAATAAACAAAACGGAAATCGAATAATCGAACACGACAAATGTATTGTTCTCAAGTCAGTACAGCTTTAACATTATATTTCTACTTTTAACACAAATAAGGAAACATCGATTTTTAAGTAATTTCTTTCATTTTGAATCTATTTGAATGCTTTCTTCTCTAATAAACGCATAAAAAAGAATGCAGAAAATTAAGTTAAAACTGTTTTTAAGGCAAACATTTTCGATTGTAACATACGAGTTAGTAGAGTAAGCGCATACCATCATACCGCCAACCAAAAAGAAAAAGAAACTTACAGTTGATTTAGGACTTTTGGCACGGGGTATCGGATTTATTCATAAAATCTGCATTCCTAAACGATTAATCGCCTCTCGATGCTACTCATCGTGTTGAAGTATGGGCAACTCATCTGCAACCTGCCACTGAAGGTGAAATATTTTATTCTTAATCCTTTAAAACAATGGTTTATGTGAGGGAAGTGAGTTTTTCTTCTGCTAAGACACAAAAGGATAGTCAAAGAAAGAATATGGTATTTGATGGAATTTCTGATTTCTGAAAGCCAGGCGGTAAATTCAAGTGGATCTCTAAATCAACGTACCAGGTCTCGCCGAAATACACAGATTGTCCGTTTGGTGGACTTTCGAAATCAATTCTCTTTTAGCTGGTTTCTAACGATCACTAGATAAATTGGCAACTTTATTCAACTCAACTTGAGAAACATGTTCGTCTGCAGGGTGGCACAAGGGCATATACGTCGGAAGGAACACACAAAAAATAATGATTTGTAATTCCAACCATAACGGCCATAACATTATATCTTCGGACCCTAACTTATTCCAAGCATGGGTTGTAAATGTAGACGTAGATTTGTTTAGGTGGCTAAAGCAGTGTGCACTGCGGACTATTGTACTCCTACACTTACGCTTCTTAGGTGATTGTTCAGGGTTTTCATTAGTTTCAATAGCCTTGATAATGGTTCTTCACCTGTGTTGGCGGGATTATTCTTTCCTTTCACCCCTTTTCCTTTGAGTCCTCGGATTAGTTCAAGATTGTAGAGCATGATTTTTGCGCCATTTTTTGTTTATATCGAGAAATTTTCCAGGAAATTCCTCTCCTTCGGATGGATTCCAATTTCCGTCCATGGTTTCGTTTTTAGAGGCCAAAGCATTTAAGACTGAAAAAAGTCTATGATCGATGAACTAGAGCTGTTTTTTTTTTCTTCTAAAAACACATTTAAAAACAGTCCTTTGAAAGAGGAATTATTGGTGTAGTGGAAAACGTACACAGCCTGCCATGTCCAGTAGTTTTGTGAAATAGACAGAAACTTTATAGAAATCCATACATATTTTGTTTAAAATCGATTACTCGTTCGTAGATATATTATATAAATTCCCAGAGAAATGTCTTTATCAGTGAAGTAGAAATAATTTTTTTCCCTATAGAACTGCTGAATTGTACTTTTTCCATAACGAGGTTAATATAATATTAAATGATTTTGATCATTTTTTGTTAACATCGAGAAATAGTCCAAGACTGAAGAAACTCTATGATTGATGAACTAGCGCTGAGTTTTTCTTTTCTAAAAACACATTTAAAAACACTCCTTTGAAAGGGAAATTATTGGTGTAGTGGAAAACGTACACAGCCTGCCATATCCAGTAGTTTTGTGAAATAGACAGAAACTTTACAGAAATCAATACATATTTTGTCTAAAACCTATCACTCGTTCTTAGATATTTTATATAAATTCCCAGAAAAACGTCTTTATCAGTGAAATAGAAATAAAACTTTTTTCGCTGTAGTCAGGTCAGATTTGTTGAGCTGAAGTTTTTCCACAACGAGGCTAAATAATAACTATATGATGAAATACAATGAAATTGTCCAGGAAATTCCTCTCCTTCGGATGGATTCCAATTTCCGTCCATGGTTTAATTTTTAGAAGGCAAACCATTAAAAATGAAGAAACTCTAAGATTGAAATCTGAGTTACTCAACTCGTTGGATATTGTCACAATTTTGAAAACACCTTGGTAGTACATTTGCCAAACAAAAATGTTAAAAATTAAATCTACCAGACCAGAACATGTCCACATTTTGTTCCTGTACGTTAAAATAAAAATCCTTATAGCACGGCTTAGCCCTTTCCATTCCATTCCGTTTGGCTTATTGAGGCCGTCGGTGTGTCCGACTCGTAATAAAGGAGAAAAAGGAGCCAGCGGCGAAGAAAAATATAAAATAAGTTGATAATTGAAGTGGGGAGCAATAAGTCGACTGGCGGAGCCCAGATGCTCGACGATAAATTAGTCCTCCCCTTATTGCCCACCACTCTATTTCCAATAACAACAATCCTACGTGACTTGGGACCGGCCTATGTAAAGGAACCGATTTTTCTTCAAATTGGGTCGTAAGCCCTGCCTAGTATTTCTTCTATTCCTCTAGAAAGGTTTAAGTAAATAAATAGTGATTTGAAACTTTAACCAACTGTTGGTTTTTGGCCGTCACAAACAAAAACTTTTAGTTCTACGATAATTAATCGACCAGTTATTTAAAATAACTTTTTCTGTGATCACTTCTTAGAAT